GCCCAAAATCCCGAGAAGAGAATGGTAGAGAATGGATTGTGGCGTGACCATCCCCCCTGGGGGGTGATTTCTCACTTTCTGTCTCTATGTCTCTCTCTGTCTTCTGGCAAGCTCACACGCCCTATAGCAAAAACCTCTCCAAAATAAAAAATTATTATTAGTAATTACAGTCATCTTAATTCTTTCTACTATCTAGATAAAATTTTACTTCATTCTCTTTTCCTTTTTTTTCAGCTAGAAAGGAAGTCCTTTCACGCCATGATCCCCCTCCCCTACCCTCCAACCCCTTAGGAACTTGGTTACCTGTACAAATGCCTGACACGTTTTCAGGCTGACCTGGGGATCCAAACCCCAGGTGGCCATGTGGCTTCCAACACTTCAGTCTAGAACACTGTAAACTATGCCATCTGGCAGGGCCAGATTTTTTTTGTAATGTGTCACAGTAATGTACAGTGTTTCACAGTATGTATTAGCAGAGAGAAACAATTACTTGGGGGCAGCAGGTGGTGTGGTGGTTAAGGTGCTGGACTCACACATGGCTGACTATGGTTTGATTACCAAACCTGGCAGCTTGCTTTCTCACTTTGTCTTTCTCTCTCTGTCTCTCTGGTGAAATTTGAAAAAAATAAATAGAATAAAATAAAATTCTAGAAAGAAACAATTATTTAATATTTGATATTTTTTGTCAGGTCTTAGGGTTCATTTAGTCTTCTGGTTTTCATCTTACCTCACTGGCTCTTCCTCCTCTTTTCCATCTCTAAACATGGATGCACTCGGTCTCGGGTCTTCTCTGTCTACACTCACTTTCCAGGTGATTTCATTCAGTGCCATGGCTTCAAGCACTGGGTCCCAAATTTGTACCTCTAGTCCTAACTCCAGTCCTGAGCCCTGGACTTACTAATCCTATTGCTTATTTTTCATCCCTGCCTGGTTATCCAAGAAGCATTTAAACATACCATGACCAAAACAGAACTTCTGGTTTGCAGACCCTCTCCAAGCTTCTTTCTTCTCTGTCTCCCATCTCATTTACCCAGGATAAAACAAGGATCGCATGCTTGCCTCCACTCTTTTCCTTACCATGGCCAAGCCTTCACACGACGTGGTTCCTGCCTGTCTCTGTGTTCCTCTTCAGCTACTCTCAGCCTGGCTTGTGCTGACCTAGTCACATGGCCTTCTGGTAGTTTCATTAACATGCCAATCATGCTCGCCTCAGAATCCTCACACCTGCTTGTCCTATAGTCATTCCCTTCCCCGTTTCCATAACTGTTCTTTTACTTTGTCTCACGTTTTCTTAAAGCATGTATCATTAGCTAACAATTTAATATATCTTGGTTTATTTTTATTTATTAGATTGTCTTGTTCACGATTGTATCCTCAGCTTCTAGAAAAATACTTAAAATGTAGTAAGCACTCAATAATATTACCTAGATAAATGAATCTGTGATAGAACAATGTCTTAAGATAATTTCACTGTGCTATGGAATTTTAAAACACCTGATACACTTGTATGAATAAATAGTAACAAGGTGTAAATAGTTAAATAGAAAATTTAAGTTATTTATACCTTTCTTTCACTTAATTAACTTGAAAAATATGTAAACAAAATAAATAGTACAAAAGAGTACAATATTTACTATGTTACCAAATTAAAAAAAGAGTATTTTTTAAATTAAAACTTAAAAATACATATTTTTAAGACCACATTCTTTTTTTTTTGGAGAGGTTTTTGCCATAGGGCACGTGCGCTCGCCAGAAAGACAGAAAGAGACAGAGAGACAGAAAGTGAGAAATCATTCCCCAGGGGGGATGGCCACACCGTAATCCCTTCTCCTCCATTCTCTTCTCAGGATCTCTGGGAACGCACAAAACACACACATGCCTGACGTGAGTTTTAAGCCACTGGGTCCGGGACTCGAACTGCAGTCTACTACATGGGAGTCCAGCAACATAGCCATTACGCTAACTGCTGGTCCCAAGACCACAATCTTGAGGGGTCAGCAGGTGGTGTGGTGTTAAGGGTACTCCAACTCCCACATGACTGATGATGGTTCAAGTCCCAGACCTGGCAGCTTGCTTTCTCACTTTCCCTCTCTTTCTTTCACTCTGTCCCTCTATGGTCAAATTAAAATAAATAAATAAATAAATAAATAAATAAATAAATAAAGTTAAATAAAATGATCCTTTAAAAAGAAACACACCCTTGAATTCAAACTTTCTACCAATAGCTACTGATACATAAAAATGCATTCTTTACTACAATATTTGATATTGTGACAATATCTACTTTTTCTATAAATTGGACATAGAAAAACAACTTTAGTCCTCTGATTAATTCCTTTTAGAATAAATTAGGATGCTTGTGATTCTTTCATATAAAGTTAACAAATTAATAGATGAGAAAATGAAAGTTAATGAAAATTTTATAGCATTAACAAACTTCACAGAAATGTGACAGAAAAACTATAAAAATGTATTTACCTTTTTCATCAGCTTTGTCTTTTATTGCTATAGTATCATTACTCAGAGACACAGTCTGTGCATTCAGAATATCTGTTCTCATTCCAGGAAATTTTGGAGAAGAAATAAAGCGTCCTTCATATGAATATAAATAGACACCACCACCATCTACAAGAAGAAAGTGTCTACAAAATAAAGAATAAAAATATATCCTAAAAAAGGAATATACTGTTTTCATTTCTACATCTGAGAATAGTTTATCCCTCAGAAAAATCTAAATCTTATGATTAAGATTAAGTACCCAGAGATATAAATTATGAAATATTTTAAAAATATAAAGTTAACATTGGGGCCAGCAGGTAGAGTAGTGGCTGGACTCCCACATGGTCAACCATGGTTCAAGTCCCAGACCCGCTGGCTTGAAACTCACAACAGGAGCATGTGCGTACATGCCCAGAATTCTGAGAGGAGAATGCAGAAGGGACTGCGGCATGGCAATCCCCCGGGGGATGACTGTCTGTCTCCCTCTGGCAAGAGCATGTGTCCTATAGCAAAAATCTCTAAAACAACACATTGGTTGTTTTGGTTTGTTCCATTGTTTTTTGTTTTATTTTGTTTTGTTTTTCTGATGGAGGTGGGGGGAAAAATGAAATGTCTATAAATACCACCCTATATTCTGAAATTTTAACTTATTTTTATATCCAAGCCACAACTCTTTTTTTTTTAAGAATTATTTTATTCATAGCCACAACTCTATATTTTTTAAGAATTATTTTATTTAATTTTATTTGTTTATTTATTTATTTTAATTTGACCAGAGAGGGACAGAGAGAGAGAGAGAGAAAGTGAAAAAGCAACCTGCCAAGTCAAGGACTCGAACCACGGTCAGCCATGTGGGAGTCTAGCACCCTTAACCACCACGTCACCTGCTAGCCTCTATTTTGTTTTCCAAAGAAGAATTTTAATACAAAATTCAATCAGAAAAATTTTAAATTTATAATCCAGCAATTTTAATGCCAGGTGCTATTTGTTTCATTTAACAGTGTTAATATATTTCAGAATTAAAGATTATTTCAAATATAATTAAAGATTAAATGCTGTTTAAAATCTAAAGATAGTAAAAATTATTAAAAAATTAACAACAAAGTCAGCATTTATTAAAACGAGATGCTCTGACTTTATAATCACATGGTGGTCATAAGTATGATAGTCTTCATATTTTAAAACTAACACTTTTTTGCAGCAGAGACTCGGATTCATTTGTATGTTGACACCAATATGCAATGCATAGGGCACTATGTAGTTAGCTTTCATTAAATCAAAATGACAATATTTTATGGTTCTAATATTCTTCCATTGAAAATGTATGAACATTGTAAAAAAAATAATTCAAATACTACAGAGAAAACAAGACTTATAATTCCACCTCCACAGAGACAACTATGGCAAGCCAAGTATGGGTATATCGTAACTTTACTTAACTAAGTCCCTCCTGAAGAAGGTTTATTTTATTTCAATTATTCACTGTTTTAAAGAACGCTGGTGCCAGCAGGTGGTATAGTGACTAAGGTTCTGGACTTCCACAGTTAGAGTGCCGGACTCAGCAATTTGAAACTCACGCGAGCGTGTGTTCATGCATACCTAAGATCCCAAGGGGAGACTGGAGGAGAAGGGATTAAGGAGTGGCCATCACCCCAGGGGGTGATTTCTTGCTTTAGGTGTCTCTATCTCTCTCTATCTCTCAGGCGAGCACACACACCCTATAGCAAAAATCTCTCTCTCTAAAAAATAAAATGTATATAGTGTATCTATATCTCCATATAGAAAAGCACAATTACCAGATCAAAGAGTATGTCATTAAAAAAATTTAATATATAGGGGGCTAGCAGATGGCTTAGTTAAGGCACTGGACTCCCACATGGCTGACTAAGGATTCAAGTCCTGGACCTGGTGGTTTGCTTTCTCCCTTTCCCTTTCTCTGTCTCTCTCTGGTCAAATTAAAAATAATAACAAATGGAATTAAATAAATAATTAATAAAAAATTAAAATTATTATCATTTCACAAATACTTTAAAAATTAATATATATTGTTAAGCAAATATATATATATATATATAAAAAACAACCATATTGGTGTGTCTGTTTCCTTAATGCTGAAGGTATTCTTACTCCTAAAATCTTGTGTTCAAGGTGTAAATATTCTTGATTCAGAACTACTTCTTGATTCAGGAATGGCTAATTGTTTTTTCAAACACCAAAAACCCATGAAAAGGATTAGTATTAATATCTAATAAATGTCAAATGTACATACTTCAGTTAAGCCTTGAAAATTGGTAGGGAGTTTATTTCATTTAAGGGTTTGGCCCTTATGCATTTGGGCATGGCTTATACACATCACTGTGTGAAAACACGATTTGCTAATCTTGACCAAATGGTACATTTTATTAGTTTATGTTTCTTCTTTGTCTCAGTACTTAAAGGATTTTTCTCTTCTAAACAGAACACTGTAGCTTTTAACCTCCTTGTAAGTAAATGCCATTTTAAGCAGCAAACATCGTTAATTGTATAAATAAGACAGTGATGTGCAGTAACAAAAATATCCTTTAATTCACAAATTATTTAGGCCATTAAAATACACCCTTATTAGGAGCATATTCAGTTAATACACTGATAGATAATGTACAAGTAAATTTACATGGAACTGCTAGAGTATAAAGCATTTCAAAAATATGGCTTCTTGGACAGATGACATCTTAACTTTTAAATGTTACAAGTAACTTGTTTTTAAAAGCTAATGATACAGGGAACCAGCAGTTAGCGTAATGGCTATGTCGCTGGACTCCAACGTAGTCAACCGTGGTTCGCGTCCCGGATCCAGTGGCTTAAAACTCACGCCGGGCGCGTGTGCATGCGTGCCCAAGATCCCGAGAGGAGAATGGAGGAGAAGGGATTGCAGCGTGACCATCCCCCCTGCGGGGTGATTTCTAGCTTTCTGTCTCTCTGTCTCTCTCTGTCTGGCTGGCAAACGCACACGCCCTATGGCAGAAAAAAGAAAAAAAAAGCCTCTCCAAAAAAGCTAATGACACATCTGAACAATGAAACTGAACTACATGATTCATTTAAGCAGATGATAAAAAACTTGACACAACATTTTCTTGATCACTCAAGATCATCATCATGATCAAACTTCAGGAACTGCTTAACTATCAGCTTTGCTGCTCACAAGAATCTGCTGGTGCTGGGGAGTAACCGTACCACTGAGCGCCCGGACCTGTGCTTTTCATTCTCTCCTCGCCAGGAAGGCTCTTTTCTCCCTGTCACTGTGCCAGCCTCTACCAGTCCACCAGCACCACTCTTCTTCCGGTTTGCTATTTATAAAAAGTCGTGAGCTAGAAAACCTAATAGACCCTATTAAGCTGCCTAGGAGCTCAGTAAAGGGATGAGGAATCAAGTACATGGTTTTAGGGCCAAGGTTTTATGAGCAGCTATTTGAGGTAACTATCGATTATATGCATACTTTAATTTAGGTTTTCTTTTCTTTCTTTCTTTCTTTCTTTCTTTCTTTCTTTCTTTCTTTCTTTCTTTCTTTCCCACTCTCTTTCTTTCATTCTTTTTTTTTAGTTTTTGCTATAGGGTACATGTGCTTACCAGAGAGAGATACAGAGAGAGAAAGTGGGAAATCTCCCCCATGGGGGATGACCCCGCTGCAGTTCCTCTCCTCCACTCTCAGGGTTTGGGACATGCACGCACACACACCCAGCATGATTCTCAAGCTGCCAAGTCCAGGACACGACCTGTGAAGCTGGCCATGTGGGACCCAACTGCATTAACCTCCACTCCATCTGCTAGCCCAGGGTTTTCTTTCTTTCTTTTTTCTTTTTTTAATTTTGCCAGAGAACACATACACTTGCCAGTGAGAGAGAGAGAGGGAGGGAGTAAGCACCCCCCATGGGGAATGATCATGCCACAATCTCTCCTTCATTTGTCCATCCTGTTGGGGGTTGGGGCATGCATGCCTGGTGTGTTTCTGAAGCTTTCAGGTTCCAGACCCAAACTGCAGGGCTAGCCACTTGGAACCCTGCTGCCCTAACTATTACACTTGGCCATGGAGCCAGTCCTATTCCAGGTTTTATCAGGTTGTAGATTTCTAAGTCTAACCTCTAATTCAGTGTTTGATATACTTGATATGACTGACAGTTTTCATGGAAAAGGATGGGTTCATAATAGTTATTCCTAAATTACTCCAGTTATTTGGCCTGGAGCTTCTTAGTCTGTCTTTTTTTTTTTTTTTTTTTTTTTTGGGGGGTTTTTTTCTCTAACAGGCGCACCCAGACAGACAGAGAAAGACATAGAGACAGAAAGCGAGAAATCACCCCCCAGGAGGGATGGTCACGCCGCGATCCCTTCTCCATTCTCCTCTCGGGATCTTGGGCACGCACCCGGCATGAGTTTTAAGCCACCAGTGCCGGGACGCGAACCGTGGTCGACTACGTGGGAGTCCAACGACATAGCCATTACGCTAACTGCTGGTTCCCGAGTTTCTTAGTCTTACTGTCTCAGTAGAGAATACTACTTTTCCAAGTTCAGATCACAGCCCAGTAGTGGCTCATGAAACTGATGAGCTTCAAATGGTAATGTAAAAACAAAACCACAACAGAACAGAAAATAGGACAAGAAAGTCAAAAGTATTTTAGAGTAACTTGCCTGTTTCACTCTTGTCCTCTTACATCATTACTCTGATGTTTACTTGTAATGAATTTATTCTCACTATTTTAAATAAATCAGTGCCTTTAAAATTTCTGTTTTAATTTCTAATACAGCATTAAAAATATATTTTACCCACATATACCCCAATCCTCTATAACTTTCTTTCTTTCTTTTTAAGAGATTTTTACTATAGGATGTGTGGGCTCAAAAGAGAGACAGAAAGCAAGAAATCACCCCCCAGGGGATGGACATGCTGCAATCCCTTCTCCTCCATTCTCCTTTCAGAATCTTGGGCACGCACACATGTGCCCAGTATGAGTTTTAAGTTGCTGGGTCTGGATTCGAACTGTGGTTGACTACGTGAGAGTCCAACAACGTAACCATTACGCCATCTGCTAGTACTGCCTTCATAACTTTTTAAGTACATAAAAAAATTGTGAAACCAAAAAGTTTCAGAACCACTGACCTGAGAGCTTATCTATCCTTTTTTCCTCTAAAACACATAAAGTAAACAAATTGATTCCAAATAACTACTGTACCATTCTGTCGATGGGATAATTTAAGAGTGCTTTACAGCTATTTGAGATAATATAATCCCAAGTCCAATAATTAAACATAATAAATGAATTACCTCTCTGCCTGTAGAATTAAACTAACAGTTCCTTCTTTGAGATCAAATATAAGTGGTGTATTCCAGTTCTTTGTACTGAAAGACAAATAAGATAAATATTTATTAACTTTAAATCACCAAATACTTTTAAATAAGTGGCAAGGTGCTCATTTTAAATAAAGTGATTTTAGTTTCGTAGTAATTATACACACACACACACACACACACACACACACACACACTTCGATTACAGCATCTGGCCCAGTGTTCTGAAATTATGAACTCCATGTCTAGCTATCTCCTAGAAAGCAGAGACTTGTGTTCCCAGTTACTAGAACATGCTGAGCATTCAGTGAATATTCATTGCACATTTTGTAATTATGACAAGGAATCCTAAGTACTGTACAAGCTATTTATGAGCTCCGCGAGTTTGGGCAAGATATCTAATGCACTTCATTTGAAAAACCGAAGCAGCAGGGCATAGTCAAAAGAGGACATGTTTTAGCTAGACAGATCTTCATTAGAAATACAGTTTTACCACCTCCCGGCCATATGATCTTAATGAGCTTAGCCTCCTAAACATTAGTTTCCTCAAGGAAAAGTTCCTGTTACACGGTAGTAGTGAACCAAGAGAAAGTACAGTAACATTGCACACATGATTATTTTTCTTACAGCTTTTCCAGGTGTTCTTACTGGGTTGAAATGAAAAGGTTTCCATGAAGTATTCTGTGAACCATAAAATACGCTATAAACATAAACTATGACCATACTTATTGAATAAGTGGATGAATACTTGAACATATAACCCACTTTGTTTTTACAGTATAATATGATTAGAAGATTAGGGTCGGTAAAAAGAAGATTTACAAATGAAAAAAATGTTCAAATAATCAAAGTTGTTTCAAAATTTAAAAATTTTACTACTCCTATATATTTTAAATTTCTCTCAATACCATTCATAGAACCAATTCTTTAAATCAAATTAAATCTTGTATTCAGATCCAGAAGATGGGGAAACAGGGAGGTTTCACTGAGTAAGTAACCTGGTAGATAATTAATCTTGGTTAAGGCAAAGAGCCTGATAGCCATTTCAGTAAGTAAATGCATGCATAAAGCAAAAGAACAAATACATTACTGCTAATAATTAGTAATTACTACTTGTAATTAGTCTGCGGTTCACAGGTGTGATAAAGATAAATGCTTTTGTATTTTAGAAATAATATCACGGCATGCTTCATTAATCAGTCATTAGAATTAACTTTTATTCTTTGTCAAGAAAGCTGATAAGGAGTGATTATGTGAGGCTTTTTTCAAATGTCCTTTTAGAAAATATGAGATTTCTGGCAACTGAGATATATAAATGCCATAGAAATATAAATTTAAGCATATGTATTCCTAAGCTATAATGCCCCCTAGAACAAGAGTATTTTCAATACAATTATTTGAATAAAATGAAAATTTAATGTAAAATGCTAATACATTATTTTCTTTTTCTGGAACTTTTTCACATATAACCAGTATATTACTTGCATGTTTGTTTCAAGAATTCTATTTTTATTACGATAAAGGGGGCAGCAATTATTAGCAGCGTGGATTCAAATACTTTTCCTCTAGTAAGGAAGTTAAGTAATTTGACCAGGGAAACTTACTTAATCATTCTCTGTGTCCTTTAGCTTCTTCATCTTATAACATGGGAACCTGAATTTCAAAAGTTTCCATTTTGTAAAATGAGGATAATAATATCATAAAAGATAGTATAACAAGTATTCAATAAATGATAGCTGTTATTGGGACCAGCAGGTGGTGTGGTGGTTAAGGCACTGGACATTCTCACATTGCTGATCATGATTTGAGTCCCGGACCTGGTGGTTTGCTTTCTCACTTTTTCTCTCTCTCTCTCTGTGAAATTAAAAAAAAAAAAAAAGAATGACTAGATAAAATTAAATAAATAACTCTTAAAAAAATGATAGTTGTGGGACCAGCAATTGGAGTAATGGCTAAGTCGCAGGACTCCCATGTACCCGACCGCTGTTCGCGTCCTGGACCTGGTGGCTTAAACTCACTCCGGGCACATGTGCGTGTGTGCCCAAGATCCTGAGAGGAGAACGGAGGAGAAGGGATTGGAGTGTGGCCATCCACCTGGGGGGTGATTTCTGGCAAGCACACGCGCCCTACAGTAAAAATCTCTCAAAAAAAAAAAAAAAAAAAAAAAGTAGCTGTTATCTAAAATCCTACTAAGTTTTAAAACTTAATGAAATATACTCAGGTAATAATCGGTCTCAATACTGTCTCATTTCTACTACTCTGCCCTGGTATTTCACTTATTTATAAAAACACATTAATTTATTTGTAGTGATTTTCAAACTGTTGGGTCTAGGACTTCAACTGAGGTCGGCCACGTGGGAATCCAGCCTTAACTACTACACTGCCTGCTAACCCCAGTATCTCACTGTAAGTACGTATTTTGTACTTTAATAAGTATCTTGAGTCAAAGAGGGGAGGCAAGGTTAAATCAGTAAAGAAAAAAACAGAGAGTCATATTTCGCAACACACTGCTATGAAAAAAAGAGTGGCAAAAAAAAAAAAAAAAAAAAAGGAATGCAGCTGTTAAGCTTTTGGTATTTTAAAAAGCAACCTCTCTAATACCAGTAAATATCTAGTAATACTAATGCAACAGATTAAAACGTTATGTCTTTGTCACTATAGCTAGTTGAATAAATCCCTCATTTAGGCTAGTTAAGAGCCCTGACTTTGTTCAAACAAACTCTAATCTGCAGAGAGCTCTGTTTTTCTCAACCTTATGAAAATTAATTATTCAAATACATATTTACATTAAGTGATTGTGAGAAAAGTTTTCTCACGTTCTAAACCCCTACCCCATATCAACTATTTAACTCGGCATCTTTATTGACTTTTTCCAAATTTTTGCTGTTTCTCGTGCCCTTTCACATCAGAAAAAAAGAATTCTCCTAAAACTGAGCTGCTTTTTTTTCTTTATCTACTCTACACTGCTCCTCCCACTTCATTACTCCAGAATTGGGTGTTTTCCCAAATTGTAGATTCTAGTTTACAGCAGATTTATGATAATGAGAGAAAGTTTTTAATACATAGTTGTAGCAGTTATCAATTAAATAGAGTACCTAGGTTGTGTATTATGGGTATTGGGATGCAAAAACAACTTTATACTTCATATATTTCAATTCATTTATTCATTAAAAAAATATTAAGTACCTGCTACATGTTGGGCAAAGTGCAAGGTGCTAGGCATACAGTGCCATGGAGACAATAAGTCTCAATTCTCAATTTTATATCCGATGGTTAAACTACAACCATGCAATATCATAAATACAAGCACAAAATTAAAAAAACAAACGAACATATATTCACAACTCTTGAAAGCTGCATATTGGTTACTTGAGTTTTCTGGATAGTTGAGAAGTCAACTGATAGTATGTTAGAGTCATTAAATTTTCTCTTTTTTTCTTTTTATTTTTTTGGAGAAGTTTTTGCTATAGGGCATGTGCACTCGCCAGAAAGACAGAGAGAGACAGAGAGACAGAAAGTAAGAAATCACCCCTGGGGGGGATGGCCACGCCGAAATTCCTTCTCCTCCATTCTCCTCTCAGGATCTTGGGCATGCATGCACATGCACCTGGCGTGAGTTTATGCCACTGGGTACAGTACTCAAACCGTGGTAGACTACGTGGGAGTCCAGCGACATAGCCATTATGCTAACTGCTGGTCCCTAAATGTTCAAGAATTTAGTAAGCCTACAGTTAAATAAAGTCATTATTTAAAACAAAATTATATCAACCTACAATTAAGCAAATTACATATTTACAAAGTTAATACTCAAAACTCCTCACCTAGAGATTATTATGTCTTACTATTCCCTATGCACTTGAGATCATTTCCATCTGCTGCACCTCTATTGGCAATGCTGTCCAATGGTTTGTCGCTCTGCATCTCCTCTCAACTCTGTTTTCTGTAAATCACATTGGTAGCTTGAAATTGGTCATGGTAGAGAGTTCGCACCATGAAAATCGGCAAACCCTACAAATCAGGACTGCCCATCTGTTTGTTGCCAGAAAGCCAGCCATTCAACATTTATCAGCACACACTGAGTTACCCTTTTAAAATACCAAATACGTTTTTTACATTTTAGGTGCAAGTTTGCTGGAGGTATTGAATCATTCCCTGCCTTTTTTATTTTTGGAGAGGTTTTTGCTATAGGGCGCGTGTGCTCGCCAGAGAGACAGAGAGAGGGAAAGCAAGAAATCACCCCCTGGGGGGATGGCCACGCCGCAATCCCTTCTTCTCCATTCTCCTCTCGGGATCTTGGGCACGCACGCACACGTGCCCGGCGTGAGTTTTAAGCCACAGGGTCCGGGACGTGAACTGCGGTCAACTACGTAGGAGTCCAGCGACATAGCCATTAAGCTAATTGCTGGTCCCCTGCCTTTTAATACAGACACTGGAAGTATTTTCTTTCATCTCTTCTGGACAGCTCTGGATCATCAATATAAATATCCATGATTACCCTGGGATATGGTATTAAGACTAAATACTTCTTTGTGTCCTTATTGAAAATCTTATAGCCTATTATCAGTTGCTAGCTGCCCCCTTTTATAATAGATTAGTTCCTTTTCACATCATTTTGAGTTGTTCCTAAGCTCTGTGTTTTGAAATCAAATTTATGAAATTTACCATAGAAATGTGAGTAAGGTAAGAGTACATACCATCTCAGAGAAGAGATTTCCTATTATAAAAGTAATTATTAACCTTTGATGTGCAGATTTTTTAGATCTTTTTTCACTCCTCATGGCTCATTTTAAAAAATCATTTCCTGATTTGAGGTGAGGCTTTGTTTAAATTAGACATGTTGCTATGAAAGTTAAGCTAGAAAAGAAATTTCTCATCACAGACAAAACGCTGGATTTTTAAGAAATGCAAGATGCTTACGAGAACACATAACACTGAAGAGATGTTGAAACAACTAAGTGTGCATAGTTCAAAGATGCTTTAATGACTCTATCACGGAATTCCAGTAAGTCCACTGCATCATTAAGAACATTACGAACCTAAACGAGGAAAAATGAAACAGCAACAAACAACATTAAAACACATCAAAAATTTAATCAGTTAAATTAGCAAGATTTTGCAATACAAAATATTCATGCACTTTTGATTATCTACTGATATAAAAATGAAGAATTAAATAGAAATTAGGCATAAGATGGCGTAGATGGGTATAAAAACCAACCAACAAAGTACAGATACAGAAAATCTTTCAGAATAGAAAAGACCTATAGAGAATTGCAGCTTGCAGGGATGCAGCAATGGAGAAATGATGTGAAAAATGCTATACCACTGAGATAATCAAAGAAGAGTCACATATAGAAGTTAGATAGATACTATGTGATTTCCACCCAAGATAGAAAAAATCTTTAAGTTTTGCCATAGAGCATGTGCACTCACCAGAGAGAGAGAAAAAGAGAGAGAGAGTGAGAAAGACAGTGAAAGAGAAAGAGAAAGTGAGAAATCCCCTTCACTCAGGGGGATGACCACATCTCAATCTCTCTTTGTCTCTTGGGTAAGTGCATGCACCCTATAGCAAAAATCTCTCTTGGAACCAGCAGATGCCGTAATGGTTACGTCGTTGGACTCCCATGTAGTCAAAAGGAGTTTGAGTCCTGGACCTGGCAGCTTGAAACTCATGACATATGGTGTACATGCTCAGAATTCCAAGAGGAGAAGAGAGGAGAAGGGATTGTGTGTGTCCCTACCCCTTTGGGGGGAGGTGATTTTTTGCTTTTTGTCTCTCTGTCTCTCTGGCAAGCACACACCCTATAACAAAAATCTCTCTCAATTAAAAAAGTGATAATGGGGGAACCAGCAGTTAGTGTAATGGCTATGTCGCTGGACTCCCACGTAGTCGACCGTGGTTCGTGTCCCGGACCTGGTGGCTTAAAACTCACGCTGGCCGCGTGTGCGTGCGTACCCAAGATCCCGAGAGGAGAATGGAGGAGAAGGGATTGCGGCGTGACCATCCCCCCTGGGGGGGTGATTTCTTGCTTTCTGTCTATGTCTCTCTCTGTCTGTCTGGCGAGCGCACGCGCCCTACAGTGAAAATCTCTCAAAAAAAAAAAAAAAAGTGATAATGTACCTAAAATTTTTAAATCTGTATACTTAGGCTTAAGAGAATATTTGAAAGAATATTTCTGCCCAAGAAATCATAAGGTATATGCTCCCCAATTTTTTAAGTGATTACAATAATACAAATTATGAATATCAAAGACCAAGGCAATTGGTATAGATGAGACGAAGAAGAGAAAGAAGGTAAATTCCCCCTACTTGGCTTCCTCTGGTACTTCAGGTAATTTTTTTTTTTTTTTTTTTTTTGGAGAGAGACTTTTGCTATAGGGTGTGAGGAGAGACAAAGAGAGACAGAGAAACAGAAAGCAAGAAATCACCCCCGGGGGGGGGGGGGCGGTGGGGCCATTCTCTTCTCAGGATCTAGGGCACGCATACACATGGGCCTGGCATGAGTTTTAAGCCACTGGGTCTAGGACTTGAACAGCAGTCAACTATGTGGGAGTCTAGTGTTGTAACCATTATGCCAGCTGCTGGTCTCTATTACTAATTTTGCCAGAGGGTAAATGTGCTGATCAGAGAGGCAGAGAGAGGGGAACATGAGAAATCATGTCCCGTGAGGAACAGTCATGCTATAATCCTGCTCCTCCATTTCTCCTTTTTGGATTTGGGCATGCATGTATATGTGCTAAGTGTGTTTTTTAAGCCACCAGGTCCAAGACTCAATGAGCACAGTTAGCCATCTGGGATCCAGTCACCTTTAACACCACACCGAGTGGCCTCAACTAATTTTTAAAGTATTTGTTAAGTACATATTACAGGCAAGACACTGGGCCAGGAGAGGCCCTACAGGAGGGACAAAGATATGTGAAGTGTAACACCTGCTCCCTTAAGAATCATACAATTAAGTAGATGACTCCTTCCACTGACGTCCTCTGAACTGTAAAATATTTCTCCCCTCCTCCCATTACTACATCCCAATCTTCCCATACTAACCTACAAAGCATTTAACTTCAAAATTATGTTTTCCTTTTGCTAGGGTCCTAGACACACTACCCTGAAGCGTGGCACCACCGAGCTGTGGCGGCACAGTGGTAACCAACCCTCTGCTCTGCCAGAAGCATAAAGAAGACCAGAGTTCCTCTCTCAGCTTGCCCTAAAACACTCAGGGTAGACATGCACGCTTGCCTCTGGTCCTGGTTGACTGAGAAAGACCGAGGGAGAAGGATCACAGTGTGAGACCCTAAAAGGGTGCCAGTCTTTCTGTTTCTTTCTCTCATGAAAGAAAAAATATAAATATACTTTAAAAACAAACAAAACAAACAACAAAATTCTAGAAAGGATTTTCTGACCTACTTCCAAAGCAGGTCACAGATCTTCATGTGAGAAGTGCTATCCCTATACCAGGAGAAAAGAACACTCCTATCTCTGAGACACGGGGGCACAGAGAAGATACTGAACAAATAGGCCTTGCTAAGTTTTCCCCGTCTCTTACCATTAGATCATACCTTTTTTGCTTTATCACATTTCTCCACAACTGTCCACTCTTTAACAAACCTAGTATAAATGTACCTAAGTTTAATCATTTCTTCTGGTCTTCATTTCCTTGTAAAGGTTCCCACATCACATAAAACCTATTTTAAAGAAATGTGTATGCTTCTCTCTTTATAACCTATCTTTTCTATGGAAGCTTCAGCTATAAACATAGGAAGAAAAAATAGTATTCTATAGTTCCTAACTTTTCTTTTTTTTCTTTCTTTCTTTTTTTTTTTTTGGAGAGGTTTTTGCTATAGGGTGTGTGCACTCGCCAGCAAGACAGAGAGACACAGAGATAGAAAGCAAGAAGTCACCCCCCAGGGGGGATGGCCATGCCGCAATCCCTTCTCCTCCATTCTCTTCTCGGGATCTTGGGCACGCACACACATGCGCCTGGCATGAGTTTAAGCCACTGGGTCCGGGACTCGAACCGTGGTCGGCTACATGGGAGTTCAGAGACACAGCCATTACACTAAGTGCTAGTCCCTTTCAATATGAATTTTCTATCATTTTTCCCATTTTGACTTGCCTTAGGTAATTCTTAAAGGTTTTTGTTTTTGTTTTAAGTAGGTTAAATAAATTCATCCAATTATAAATCAGAAAAACAATTTGAGCCAGCTGATGGCATGGTTGTTAAGGGGGCTAGATTCGAGTCCCAGATCCAGTGATTTGCAAAACATGCCAGACACGTGTGCATGTATGCCTAAAATGTTGATAGGAGAATGGAAGAGAAGGGGTTGCCGTGTAACTATCCCTGCCCCCAGCCCTAGGTAACTAGCAAGTCAGGCCTGCCCTGGAGCCTGCTCCAAGCAATCTTATTTGCTCTTATTTGCCATAACTTCTTCTCTCCTTTCTTAACTCAATCAGCATATTCCCTAAATGCTTTAAATGTCATTATCCCAGGCCCAAACCCATAACACAGTAGCCATGGGCATCCAGGTCCTTTATCCGTGGAAGGTTCTTACCCTATGTCATAAAAAAGTGACCAAGAGCACCATGAAAATATTTCTGTGACTGAATTTTTTTAAACTTGATTAAACATAATTAATTAAGACATATTCCATATTCAGCATAGTGAACTAATGTGAAAATAAGCACTTTATTCAACCTTGGAACATAAATCCTACCTGCATGGTCCTTCTTTTAATTAATGTGACTTCAAAATTCTTCCACTCCCACCGTTGCTCCACCACATGTGCAAAGACCACATGTCCATTTCCACAGGCTCCAGCGATCTGAGTGCCATCAATTGACCACGCGATGTTAAATATGCTGCCAGTGTTGGGTTTCTCTAAAGCATATGACCACTGGAGAAGAAAAAATAAAGAGAGAAACTGATTTAATGAAAAAAGATTTGTTAAGAATTTTTAAATTGGGCCTATGTTTAAAGAGAATATATCTTTATTATGAAATTACCAAAAATTGTTTTCTTAATAAAATTGTAGTGTGCTGAATAGAATGTACAGACATGATTTTAACAGTACACAGTAGAATGACATGATAAAGCGGTATGAAATTTCTCAATAACTGTAATAAAGCCTATGCCTTTCAATTTATTATACGTTATTACTTTTCTTTTTAAGAGAGAGATTTTTTTGCCATAGGCATGTGCGTTCACTGGGGAGACAGAGGAAGATAGAGACACAGAAAAGAAATCACCCTCCCATGGGGATGGCTACACCACAGTCCTTTCTCTTCTATTCTCCACTTGGGATTTTGGGCACGCATGCACACGCACCCAGTGTGAATTTTAAGCCAGAAGGTCCAGGACTTAAACCACAGTTGACTACACGGGAGTTCAGCGATGTAACCATTTGCCATCTGCTGGTCCCTACATTATTACTTGTAAGTAATAATACTGAATAGGTAAACACAAGTTCTGCAGAGAAAAACAAAGACAACTTTCTACTAGCTCTAATGTTCTTTATAGTTTCTACATCTAGAAATTTCTGATTACAACATTCCAAGAACATAATTAAAATTTGAAAAAAAAAACCTTTTTTTTAAACAATTTATCACTATTTTTATTTTCATTTAAGCCAAGAATGCCATGGGCTAAAGTTATTTACACAAGATATACAATCCATATTTTACATTTTCATATATATTTCAAAACATGAGAGTATTTTCTCTTTATTGTCCAAATCCGCATGTTTTTTCCTGAAATACAATTTTTATAACACAGTTCCTAGCAACAAAGCCAACACTAGAAGAATTTAAAAAATTATTTTCTAGTGGTTACAGTAGAACCAATTTTTCTCATTAAGAACCTATAAGGATTGGGGCTGGCAAGTGGCATGGTGGTTAAAGGTGCTGGACTTCCACATGGCCGACCATGGTTCAAGTCTCGGACCTGGTGGCTTGCTTTCTCACTTCCTCTCTCTCTCTCTGATCAAACTGGAAGATAATAATGATAATAATAAATAAAGTTAAATAATTCTTAAAAAAAAAAAAAAGAAGCTATAAGGATCTAGCATATACCTATGGTTTACTGAATAAAGTCAAGAATGTAGCACTGGTAGGTAAGTTCTAAAATAAATTTAGCCAAGCATTCAAAATAAAAGGACTGACTTTTTAGATCTAAACCTAAAATGAACTTTGAAAATATATTTTAAAATATTCTCCCAACCCCTGCTAACTCCTTTATGCTTTCACACAGCAAGTTTGAGGAATTCCAATTTTTCTTGTTTTTATACATCTTTCTATTGGGGCAGATATCAGTTGTTGTTCTCCAAGTAGGCCTCTGCATGAACCCAGGCCATTTGGCTGGCCAAGTACCTGTCTCTAGCTGACATGACAGTCTCTTCATTACTTCACTTTGCAAACTTGCTCACTGCCTCGGGGGGCGGTGGAGGTGGAGGTAGTCCCTCTTGTTCTTCACCTTTCTCTTGCCATTCCTGTGTGTCTGTGTTTTGTTCCCAGTGACGTTTCAGAACTAGAGGGCTTCTCTTGGTTTCTTTCATTGTCCTTTTCTGTTTCTCGTTTTGCTGCATCTTTCCTAGTCAAGAAACTTATCCTCTGCCCTAGAATGTGGGCTGTTTTCCCTTGTCTTGACTGCTTTCTGAAGACTGAACGCTTAGTTCTCATTTTTCTCTATCTCTGTATTTATTATTATTTTCATGCCTTTCTTCTTCCTCCTTTTCACATGTTCTTCCATTTCTTTGCTTCTCTCTTTTTTCTCAGAGTATTGGTCATGATCATTTTGTTGCCTATCTCTTGCTCTTCTGGGGAATATTTGTCCTTTTTCCTTCCCTGTCATTTCTTTCTCTTTAATCTCGTCCCCTTAGTTTATCTTCTTGTTCATGCTTCTTCCATTGGCTATGACTGGCTTCTCTGTGCCTTTAAGAATCCTTTTCTTCTCCATGGTCGTGGATAGGGTAATAGTTCTCCTGGTCTCTGGGTCACCTCTTTTTTTGGATCGTCTCATCTTCCCTTTTCTCCAGTCCTCTTGACATGAGAAATTTGATGTGGCATATGGTACCATGTTCTCTTTCTTCACTAGATGAGTGAGTTTGATTACTGCGATGCTTGGAGTCAGTGTCAAAAGTCTCTGTGACATTTTCCCTTCTGCAGTGCACTTTGTTTTCTTCCATGTCATCATCACCGCTGCTCAGAACATCAAAGTCACTGTCTGCATCCAGATTTTCCTCTACTTTCATACCAGTCTGGAGATTGCATTTCTCATGTAGTATTCTTTTTTCCGAACTTGCTTCATCGGTAACCCCTTGATTTCTCCTCCTTGACCCCAACCCTGACTTCACGAAAGCTGCATTTAGGTCCTTCCTCCACCAAATGTTTAGGTACCTATAAAACCCACTGAGATCTTTCTGCTTGGCTACAACCAAACATGCCTCTAGTGCAGCAGTCCTGTTCTCTTTCTTCCTCTTCAGCTCTCTCCTGCAGTTTTTTCTTATAAGCAGATGTCACAAATGCCTCATCATCAAATTTTCCCTTTTCTGCTTCTCATTTTCTTAAAAAGGCCCAAAAGTGGTGTTTAACTTGGTAAACTCACCACAAGTCTAGACTCAGCTCTAAAAGCATGCTACTGCTACGCCTACATAAACAAAGTAACGTGAAATAAAATAAGAATCATACTAGACAGCACAATATAGAGAACACCAATGACAGTATTTCTATAAAGTGATGACCTAGTGATGATGACCTATATATCCCTTTGATAGATGAGATCAGATTTTTTTTCTGTATCTTGCCAAATTATTAAGGCCTGCAGGCTGTTTCTCAAAAAAGAAAATACTTAAACTTAAAAAAAAAAAAAAAAAAACTTGATTATAATGATTTTTAAAAGTACCTTCCTGAATCAGCCCTGTAAGCCTAGTAATTAAGAGTTGGATTCCACATGGCCAACTGTACAGTTCAAGCCCTGGACCCAGTGGCTTGAAAACCATGCTGGGTATGTGTGTTATATGTACCCAAATCTTGAGAAGAGAATGGAGAAAAGGTTGTGCATCATCATCTTGCCTGAAGGGGATGATTTCTCACTTTCTCCCTTTCTCTCTCCATGGAGTGTACACAGCCTACAACATGCAAAACTTTTTTAAAAATAACTAAATAAATAAAGAAAAGAAAAAGTAAAGTTTCTAATTTCCTAAGGCACACTAGCTGATTTTCAAGATCAATATTCTCTCTCATATACCAGGAATTTCAAATTACAGATTATCTTAAATTATGTGTCACTGGGTGGGCCAGAAGGAAATGTAGTGGTTAAGGTACTGGATTCACACATAGTCTACCCTGGTCCAAGTCCCAGATTCGGTGGCTTGAAACTCACATTTGTCATGGATATGTGCATGCCCAAAATCCTGAGAGGAGGATGGAGGAGAAGGAATTGCAGTGTGGCCATCCCACTTAGGGGTAATTTCTTGCTCTCTTGTCTCTGTCTCTTTCCATCTCTTCGGCAAGTGCATGTGCCCTATAGCAAAAATCAATAGGTAAACACATAAATATGTGTTATTGACGATAAGAAGTCACATATGGCAGTAAGACCAGTTACTACAGATGACGGATCGTTAAAATTATTTTAACTGAATAAATGAACGAATGAACGGAAGGAAATCTTTAATAATTGAATATTCAAAGATAGAAAATGGAAATCACAGAAAAGTTCTCTTTCATAAGCAATAGCACCACCTGCTGAAAAATAAAAGGAACAATGTCAGCTAATTAAAAGTGAGGTCAAATCTACCTTACATATTCAAATCTTTTCCCTTAGATTCTATCCTGTTTAATCACGTGATTCATTAATTTATTCTGCATACTTATTTACAATAATTCTGTTAATTTGATCATATTTGAATCACGTATTTCTCAAAATTCAAAACTAAAGATCAAATTTACTATGGAATCTAGAGAAAAAGTTATGGCATTATGGCTTTTTTAAAAGTTCTTGTTCCAAGGACCAGCAGGCAGTGCGGTGGTTAAGGCGCTCAACATTCTCACATGGCTGACCATGGTTTGAGTCCCCAGAACTGGTGACTTGCTTTCTCACTTTCTCTCTCTCTCTCTCTAGTCAAATTGAAAATAAACAAATGAATAAATACAATTAATAAATAATTTTTTTAAGTTCTTGTTCCATAAGTAATTCATTGTACCATACTTTATTTACAATCCAGTGGTGTATATTCAGTTTGTATACTTATTTTGATACTCCCTGATAACCTTACCTAAAGTAATTTCATCCCCCTTTTCCAGCTTACCTTACTGAGAGCACTCACTGCCTCTTAACATATTATATATTCATTTGATTCTTTATGGTCTTTCATCTACTTAAATAAAAACTCTCAAGAACAGAGTATTTGTTTTGTTTATTAGTATTTCTTAAGTAGGATAAGTGCCTAGCACATAATACACATTCAGTAAATACTTGTGAAGAAATTTATGAATATGAAAATAAGTGAACAAATGATATGCAATACATTTTTATATTTCCTTGAAGCTAAATAGTTGTGTCAAAACTTTCAAGGCTCTTCATATATTTTGCCAAATTATATTTGAGAAATATCCAAATTAATATTCCCATTTATATGGAGACCCACTTTGCCATTTTCTGGTGAGTGGGAGTGGCACTGCACTGTGATTTTTAATTTGCATGAAACTTATTACTGAAAAGGCTAAACATATTTTGGGATTTCAAGAATATTTATACTTTTCTTAACCTCTGCTCATGTTTTCAATCCCAGAATTTGAATTAGGTTCCTTTTTCATAATTTCTGTGTCTTTTTTCAAAAGAGTTCTTTATTTAATTTTACTATTATTTTTTTCTTTTAATTTGACCAGAGCGAGAGAGAGG